CCTGGTTCAGCGCTAAAGACCTGTAAAAATCTACCAAAGGCTCCAAAATCATCTTTTCATCTGCAAAACTGACAGTGACCCTAACCAGGCCGAGGGTGGTTGCAAAACCTGCTTGGTCCACTGTCCGTAAAAGCAGGGACTGTGAAGGATTTATCCGTATCTGGCAGAAGGGTGCTGGGATGCTGGGAAAAGCGGCTTCCTGCCCCGCTGTCTGAGTCCCAAGGAAGGATGGAGATAAGGCGAGCCTGACAGGCGCCACTGGGGAGGCCAGAGTTGCCTCCCACCTGGAAGTGAGGGGTTGGGATGTAGGGACCGTTCCTAACCTAGGAAAGATGAGTATGTGATTAGTGAGGCAGGAAGCAGCTGGCCGCAGGCCTGAGGAGACTCTGACTGGGGCCATTTCATAGAGAGGAGACTGTGCTGAGAGAGAAAGCTGGTTTGTCACCTGATTCCAGAGTCAAATGTCAGAATCCAGGGAAATGTGAGGTGTGGTGGGGCCTGGAGGAAAACAGCACATGGGGAGAAGCGGTATTGCTCAAAAGGGTCAGGCCCACAGAGAACCAAGGAAGTGAAGCCTCTTCAGTGAGAAATGTCGGACACTAGCGTCCAGGTGCCTTCTAGATCCCAAAGAGACAAAAGAAGCAGTAGTGAAGGGGGCTCATGACAGGAGAAACTGCAGAGACCATGTGTGGGAAGATGGGCCCCGCCCACACTCTGCCACTGTGCGGAAGGGGCAGCGTTCCTCAGACAAGCCAAAGTGGCACAAGACAGTCTATAAACCGCCAGGGCTTGCTCTGCCTCCAACCTGAGCCAGGATGAGGGATCACAGAAGCCAAACAGGCTAGCCATGCCTGGCAGGGCTTTGGCTCTGCCCTGCAGGGGGTGCCATGCTACCGGGCAGGCTCAGGTCCAGAGCCAACCTGTTGCTAAATCCAGATTCCTGAGATGCCAGCGACCTGTGTCTGGCACAAGGTAGCCTCACCTGGCTCTTTGGATCCTGGCATCATCGGCTCAGAGGGTCTCTGCAAATAATGGAACTGGCTGAGCGCACTCTTGGTCAGAGTGTTAAGGGTACAAGGCCTCAGAGGCCAGAGAAAAGATGGCAAAGTCACTTGTGGGAGCTCTCCAGAGGGAAGGTGACTCGGGGACTTAGAGGTCTGCAGTCCTGTGGGGCAGCCAGGGCCTCTCTCTCACTATGGCCTGTGGGGTCCGAGGGGGTGACTTAAACTAGCAATGCCCCTCGAAGGTGGGAACAGAGACACAATGGTGGAGGTAACCTGGGGTCTCAGGGCTTTCTTGGTCCTGGGACCATGCCTTGGTCAGACGCCCAGCTCCCAGCCCACCCCGGCAGGGGTAGTTCACTAGCATATGTTTAGCAGGGACTAACCAGCCAGCAGTGTGATGGTGCTCACAAGTATTTTCACACGTGAACTCATTTCTATCTCATAGTCATATGCAGAAGGGGTATTATCTGCAGAGAGGTTAAAGATAATTAACTAGACGGTTCCCTTCTCTGAGCAGCGACCAAGTTTTATCGGTAACACCTGGCATTTGACAGGTGCTCATTCCTGTGGAAGGAACAAAGAAAGGGATGCTCCTGCCCCAGGGCCCCTGGCCGGGAGAGGTGGTGCTGGAAGGAAGCTTCAGCCTGGGAACGCAAACGCTGCCCCTGCCAACCCACCCGCAGGATGCCCGCGGCAAGCCTAGGGCCGCGGGGTGGGGAGAGCTCAGGCTGACAGTCTACCCGCGGACTGCGTTCCTGGGCGGCTCAGATTTCGTGGAAATTGTCCGGCTTCTCTGGACACCCTGCAGTCTCCGGGGGGTGGAGGGGGCGGTGGAGGCAGGACACTGAGCCTTCCCATTTACCCCGGCTTAGGGGCTCCGGGCTTGTCGGGACCGCTGTCGAAAATGTGCATCCCACCGCCCCCTCCCTAGCGAAGTCCCCGCGGCCCGCAGAACGGGGCCGGACAGAGCCGGACAGAACCCCGAGTCCCGGTAGAGGTCGGGCGACCGGGGAGCCCCGGCGGCCGCGCAGCGCCCTCTGGTGCCGGGCAGCGGAGCCAGGGCCGTCCCGCCCGCTGGCCCGCCGGCCGCACGGACTTCCCGCGACCGCGGCCCCGCGCGGGATCCCGGGCCCAGGGCGGGATTCGGGGATGCAGGAGGCGGAGCCGAGCGGGTGGGGGTGTCTCCGAGAAACTCGCGGCCTTCGGCTGCTTCCCGGCCCGGGAAGTAAGCTGGGGTCGGGAGGCCGCAAACAGGAAGTCGGGCTGTAACAAAGAGCGCGGGGGGCGGGGAGCCGCGGGACCTCCCGGGCGCCCGGCGGCGGCAGGTGGAGGGCTGACCCCGGAGAGCGCGCCGCACCTGCCTCTTCCGCCGCTTGGGGCTCAGGGTCCGCCGCCACCCAGCTGGGCCTCGGGACCAACGGTGCGCTCTGGGAGCGAGGGAGACGCGGCCGCCGGGGAAGGCCGCTGGGACCTCCCAAGCGCATCCTCTCCCCGGGAGGACACTCAGAGTTCCCTGAGTGAATCACTAACATCCCCTTCCCGGAATGCAGCAGCCACGTGGGGCGGAGGGCTGGGTCTGTGGATGCTGCAGACACGCAGGGCTGCTGCAGGGAGAGCCAGTTCTGTGGGTCCCCGCAGGAGCATGGGGTGCCCATACTATCCTAGCTAATCTAATGGCCTTATCTCCCTGGGTCGTGGGGTGGGGAGAGGAGGTTCGGGGGTGTGGGAGGGCATAAAAACCAAGGTAATTTTTCTTTTAAATATTTATGACTGCAGAACCGGGGTGCAGTCCAGAGGTGCAGGGGCTGGGGGCTGAGAGGATTCACCAGAGACAGAGTGGAGAGCAGAACAGGCAGATTGACAAGTACACTGCTGAAGGGAACAGCAGGTGAGACAGGAGAGGTCTGCAGAGTTATGTGGGTCACCTCCCTGGCCAGTTATCGAACTGGCAATGAAACAGCTGCAGCTAAATTTGCAGTGCTGCTGCCTTAACCTGTTGTGCCACCAGGGAGGGCCCGCAAGTTTCGTTTTTCTTATGCTTCTGAGTGGGGAGAGGAGACCCTGACAGAGTAAGCATGATTTCAAAACCTCTGTCCCTAACTCAAGTCCCCATAGTCATCTTCAGGTGATTAACAGCCAGAGGCCATCATGGAGTCAGGTTTATTCTTTAGGTAGGATGCTGGCTCCAGGTTGTTAAGGAACTACTAAACTCTTGCAGTCTCTTGTGAAACACCCATGCAGACTGCATAGGACATTTGCTAAACCTTGGAGAGCACTTCACAGTGAGTCCAGAGCTATCATCAGTCCTGGTTTCTGCCAAGTCTGGGACATCTCTTGGACACCTGGGCTCTCTGGCAGTAAAATTTTGGGGACTTTACCTATGAGAATGGGCTGGACCCTCAGGGAATGACCTGGAAGTCCTGTGACCTGTTCATACTCCAGGTGCTTGGCTCAGTTTCTGCCATGTCACTAGAGGTGGAGCCTGGCACAGACTATAGATTGGAGCTGCCCAGATCAAGTCCATGCACGAATCCTCTTTTCCCAGAAAGTTGGCGTGGTGGGCTCTCGCAGCTCCCAGTTTAGGGTATCAGAGCCAGTGAGTAGGTTGAGCGAGCCAGCTCTCCTCCAGGGCTTTTCTGTGAGGAGTTGGCAGTCTGTGTTACCCAGCACAGCCTGGTGGTGTGGACGTGCAGGCCCGCGAGTGTCCTACCTGTCCCCCACATGGGAGCCTCGTCATCTCGCCTTCGTGTCCCAGCCCAGTTTCCCCCGCCCCCCCAGAGCCCTGGAGCTGCTTTCCTGTTTCATTTTGGGCAGGAAGAGTGAGGTCGTGTTGTTCTTCCCCCTGCTGCCGGCTCAGGCTGTGGGAACGGTTCCCTGAATGCTTTCCTGTTTGATACCCTGTGTGTGCAGCAAGGGGAACAGGGAGCAGTGAGCGAGGTGTGGAGCATGTGCGTGTGGGGGAGTGTGGATGAGCCTGGTCTATTGCTTCCTTGTCTCTGGCATAAGCACCCAGGACAGGGCAGGCACGCTGCGGAGGGGGTGTGTCAGGGAGAAAGAGGAAAAGGGGGAAGGGCAAGTAGCATTGCTCATACTTGGACTCCACTGGGAGCAAGGCATCTGGTGGGTCTATTTTGCTATTTTGTGGACAGGCTGAGAGCTGGGAGCATCTGCTCAGCTCTTTGTCAGGGGCTCATTTTTTTTTTTATCATGTGCTTTCCATTGGGTATGCTTATGGCTATGGAGAGAGGAATATGGCACCCAAGGGACCACCCTGCACCTTAGAGGAAGCTACACATGAAGTAGTGATGAAGCTCACATTAGTAGCTCAGTCAGAGAAAGCGGACTCAGGGAATGTTACCTTCTCCCTCCCATCAACTCCTTCCATACCCTCTCTCAGCCCCTAGTCTGCACTAAACTACAGCTCTAGGCTGACCAAGCCCTGAGATTTAACTTTTACGCAGCTGTAGGAGCATGGCTCCAAGGCAAAGTCTGACCCTCTCTGTCCCTCCCCCCAAGAACAGCAGGTGCCAGCCCATCTAAATCATGCAATGGCAGGAGGAAGGAGCCCCATGTCACCAAGTTTCAGAGCCCCCATTCACCAAGAGAACCTTAAAGAAGGAGTGGAAACAGGCGGACTTGTCCCCAAATTCCTGTATTCCAAGCTGTCTATGGAATTTCATAAGCTTTTTTTTTCAGGCTTGAGGAAAGAAAAGGGAAATAGGTTCAGGGGGCATATCCCTGCCCAAGAGTAGTGGGAGCTTAATTGGGGAAGGGGATCCCTCAGGCAAGAAAGACTAGCTTAGGCAGGGGACGAGATGGGCAGGGTGGGCCTTGCCAAGGACTGCAAGGGGACAAAGGCCAACTCCAAGTGAGTGTACAGTTTCCTGGGGGTTCTGGCAGCAATATGACAAGGGGACTTAGAGAGGAAGGGGTGAGTATTCCCACTTTGCTATCACAAAAACAGGACCCAAGAAATAGAAAACTCCTGTACACATCTGTTCCATATTATAAATACACATTATATACAAAATAATGTTATAAAATGTAGAAAGGTCAGTGCTTCTGATTCTTAAATTATTGCAATACTTGACTCCAAAATAAACTACAAAAAACAAACAAAATAAAAACTCATATTATTGATTTCTGAAGATCGGCTTCAAAGGTGGTCTGGGGGCAGTAGTGGGCTTGGGCAGAGCCCAGGCTTGAGGCTGTAGGAATAAGTTCGAGGGAGGAAAAGGCCTTGGTCGTGACGGCACCATTTCTCCCTCAGTGAAATTTCCGACAGAACTGCCCTGAGCTCCTGACTTAGGCCTGATGCCCCTCACTGGCAGAAGGGGCAGGCCCTCATCCTGTCTGTTCCCAGGAGCCCAGAGGCACCCAAAGCCAGGGGCTGTGGAAGCCAGGTAAGGCTAACCAACCTTCTGGTCCAGCGGGCCTAGCCAGGGAGAGGCTGGGGGGTATGAGCAAGGCCCACATGCAGCAGTTGGAGGCACGGGGCAGAAAGTGCTCCTCCCCTTTCGGGCGCTCACCTCACTTGCAGGGCAACTCCTGCCAAGAGCCTCACCCAATGGCTTCCTGGCTCACAGATGGCCCTGCCCCTTACTGGCCTCTTCTCTCCTCTCTGATTTGGACCCAGCTTTCACCATAGAGCCTGGGTCAAAGGCACTTTTGGAAACACAGATGCCAGTGGAGGCCACAGCAGCTCCAGACCCCACAGGGCCACTGCCACTCCCTGTGGAAAACAGGCCAGGGCCCCCGAGGAGTCCTCCGAGGGCCACTGTTGGCCGGGCAGGTCCAAGTGGCATCTCTCCTGTCCTCTGTTCCCCTGCCTGGCAGGGCTGCCAATCTGATGCCAGACAGACACCCAAAGGTGTGGAAGGGTACTACATCTGTTGGCAAGTTCACAGTCTGTCCAGTTCATGCCATTCCCTCTTCCTCCTGAGAGCAGCACGTTGCATATTACAGTCCCATCCAGGATGCAATGTAAACAATGCAGAAGGAAGGTCCAGCTGCTGGGGCAAAGCTGGGATGTCCTGGAGAGGTTCCTGTCTTATACCTGGAGAGCATGTGGAGAGAGGGGTGGTGGGTTACTCTGAGGTATAGCACGCCCTCCATGGCTGTCCTGGCCTCCTTGAGAGAAGCCCATGAGGCAGGCGGGGTGAAGGGAAGGTGGGCAGCCCTCCCTGGTATCCTGCCCCTACGTATGCACATGCCTGGGAGCCTATGCTCATGCGGTGAGCCACTGCAGGAAGCCAGGGGAAGGAGGGCACAAGCCAAGGACCCTCACACACCAGCAGCTGGGAAGCAGCACCTGAAAGCTGGCCCGTTGCCATAGCCACCCAGCCTGCACTAACACGGCAGGAAGAGACCAGGCCAAGGCTCTCCACCACGGCTCCTGTTTCACAGCCCTCTGTAGCAACAAGGCCAGGTGGGACCTGAGAACCTCTGCACCTGACAGCAGTGGGTTCGGCCCTACCCTTCAAGAGCCGCTTCTCAGACCAAGATTAAATGGGCCACTTTCCGATCCCCAAAAGGCAGGAGGGGATATGCCGGGTGGGCTGCGAGCCCAGCACTCACCTCCGTGGCAATGACACATTCGTTCCTCTCCTCTGATATCAAACACACAGACTGGTACATGGAGTCCCTGGGGGAACATATCGCTGATATCCGACACTCTGGCTTTTCACTGAGGGAACACAAGACAGGTTGGTGAGGGAGGTCCAGGGAGATAGCTGGAGGGGGTGGGGCCGCTAACCTGGACCTTGGAGAGCCAAAGGGCACAGCAGAGATAGCTCTGGGAGAAGACACAGGGACCAAAGATGCCAATGCTGGCCTGGGAGCAGTTAGGGGTGGGCCCCTTGGGTAACCAAAGAACCCTCAGTCTTACCAGGGGGGCTCAGTCCTGGAAAAAGCCAGCATTGCCGCTTAGAGGCAAGTCTCAGACACACAGTGTGACACTTGACATTTGTAAATGAATGAATGGGAGGGACAAAGGAACCCTGACAGAAACCTTGTTCAAGGATCCTGTCAATAGCAAAACCCTGGTTTGCTTAAAAGCGGTCAAGGCCCTGGGGCCAGTCTCCCACCTGTCCTGGCAGAACCCGGGCCGTACCATGCAGGGACCTGTGGTCCTGAGCTTCCTGGCGCTGCTCACCTGTGTAACCGCAGTGGCGCCTTCTCCCCTAAGCTCTTGTCACTGTGGGAATACTTTCCCAGCATGGTCCCCGGCCCCAGGGGTCCTGGGGCCAGATTATAGTCCAGCGTGTGATTTTGCTGTTTGCCACAATTGGACTTGTCCAGATCACAGTCCACTTCCAGCTCTTTCTTCTGGTTTGTGTTTTTAAGTTGGGCGGCCGGGATCAGGTTGTCCTTTTGGAAGTCCGACAGGTTGTTCATGGCTTCCCTGCTGCCATAGTCTGGCCGACGAAGTCGCAGCTGCCTCACAGCCACGGCCACCATGCCCAGCAACACCAGCACAACCACCAGCCCCACACCCAGGGAGATAGCCACCCAGGGGAAGCTGGGAGGCATGCTCATAGGGAACTCGCAGCGGCTGCCCACAAAGCCATAGGGGCAGTTGCAGACGAAGTTGTCCGGGGAGAGGCCAGGGTAGCAGGTGGCCCCGTTGAAGCAGGGTCCCGAATTACAGGCGTCACCGAAGAGCCGCACTTCGCAGTGCTGGCCAGAGAAGCCAGCCGGGCAGGTGCACATGAGCCCTTTCTCTAGCTCATGGCAAGTGCCACCATGGGCACAAGGGTTGCGGGCACAGTCGTTGATGTGGCTTTCACAGTGCGTGCCTGTGAATCCAGGGCGGCAGCGGCATATGCGGTTTGGACCTCGGATCAGGCACTGGCCCCCTGTGGGTAGGCACGGGGCACAAGTCAGCAATTGCTTGCCCCTGGGGCAGAGGGTGGGTGCCCCAGCCCAGGGTCAAATTGGGGTCCTGCTGGCTCACAACACAGTCAGCATTTACAGAGCCAGCCTACTACAAAGAGCATTGCAGAAAGAGTCAGGAGACCTAGAGCTGAAGGCGGTCCTGGTCCTCTGGGCCTCAATGGGCTCGTGTATAAAATGACTAGCATCTTACAGAACTTCCTAGTACATCAGACCCAAACGCTTGGGTTTAAATCTCAAACCCAGCTGTTTCTCTCTAGCTGGGGATCTAGCCCCTGTTGTCTTACTTTCATTCTAAGCCTCAGTTTCCTCATTTGTTAACATGAAATATAATGCTCTCCTCTCCATCAGAGAGAGGTGAGGATTAGGCAGGATGATGCATGAAGGTAAGAGCACATGCTTGAAATATAGTAACTGCTCAGAGAAATGTAATTATCACTATTTCATTTAATCTTCACAACCAGAGGGCAAGCATTATATTTCCCCACGCAGCGATGGAGCAGCCATGGCTCCTGGGAATTAACTACGTGATAAGCCAGAGAGCCGACTCCAGCCCGGCCCTACCAACCCTCGGGGTGCCTGTGTCTTCTCTCCTGCATGGGCTATCTACCTCCCACAAGAGGGTCACAGGATGCCAAGAGACAAGGACAATCAACATACTTTGTGTCCCCAAAGATGCTCAATATTCAAGATGGACGTATGCCATGCGAGCTCTGTGGGGTCATAGGACAAAGGGAGGCCTTCCAGAATGGGACCCTGACTTTGCCAAGAGGGACACCAGGTCTTCAATGTCCCTTTCTTCCAATGGGAGGGTCAGAGGCCAACTCAATGAGATCAGGGCTCTGATATGGACACTGGAGTGAAATCGAAATGGAGGCTACACAGAGGACACACCACTCCCTCTCCTCACATCTGCACTCCATGCTAATCTCCTCTGACAAAGCCACCAGCTGATCAACAAGCTCCTCACCATCCAGAGAAGTTGGGGACCCATCTCAGCTTGCCCAGAATGACAGATAAGGCCTCTCTCCCCTCCTGACATTCCCTCACCAGACAGAAGGCTGTCTTGGCCCCAGGGCTGGTCCACTAGGTTAGCAAGGAACAGGACGCACCATTGGCACAGGGATTGCTGGTGCACCTGTCCACTTTCTTCTCACAGTTGGAACCAGTGAAGTTGGGGGGACATTCGCAGGCATAGCTGGCGCCCTGGTTGCGCTCCCGGCAGGAGCCCCCATTGAAGCAGGGAGAGTCAGCGCAGCTCAAGGTGCTGTGTTCACAGTGCAGGCCGTAATAGCCTGGGGGACAAAAGCAGCGGTAGCTGTCCTCCTGGTCCTGGAGAGAAACCATAAAGGGACCAAAGTCAGACCAGGGGCGGGGGTGGGGGGGTTGAGGGGTGAGGGAGAGGGGAGAGGCAGGGATGGGAGGCTGGGTGGTAGGCCCCACCTGTCTACAGCACCTGCCTAAGATTGCACATGCATTGGCCATCTGGGGTGGGGATGCCTGGGACACCACCTGGCCAGACAGACCTCTGCCTTCCTTCCTGGGCCTGGGCCTCACCTTACAGCTGCCTCCATTGCGACAGGGGTTGCTGTCACACTTGCTGAGCTCCAGTTCACAGTCCACACCAGTGTAGCCTGGGCGACAGGTGCAGGTGTAGCTCCGCTGCCCACTATTGGAACACGTTGCTCCATTCTTGCACGGGGAATGGTGGGTACAGTAGTTGAGATCTACAGAGACAGGAAAAAAGAGCTGAGCAGGGCCAGAGAACAGCCCCACCACAGACTCCCAGTCCTGCAGGTTCACCATCCATGTTTGTCTCAAAGAGGCTTCAACTCAGCCTTCTAGGTCTAAATACCCTTCCTCCCCACCCACCCACCCCCAATGAAAGCATAAATGTTCAAGCACTCTGAACTACATCTGACCAAAGTTGAAACAACAACTGGACAACTGGCTGCCAGGGAAGCTCACAAACACTGTCAACCTCCGTCTAAGGAGAAGCTTTCCTGCCCACCTTTGAGTATGCAGGTGCCTGTCTTTTCTTTCTCCTTTTCCTTATAAACCTGTCCTTTTAAAATGTAAGAGAGAGAGAGAATGAAGAGGAAGTCAGAAAAGGCTTCACAGAGGAGGGGCAGCTGATAAACCTGGAAGAAGGTATAACATTTTAACATTTTAACAGGTGGATATGGTAGAAAGGAGGTGGGAGCTACCATAAGCAGTAGCAGGCATTTTTAAAAGGGGATTGTGTTATGAAGGTATTTTGAAAGATAAGTGTTTGTTTTCTTATTTGGGAAGAACAGGGAGGGAAAACCAGACAGAACAAATACAGGGAGTAAGGGCTGTGTTTGCATATGAATATATGACTCTGTCACCTGGGAGTAAAGGGGGGAGGGGGGAAAGAGGAAGGAGAATGGTCAGGAACCAGGTGTGTGTGTGTGGGTGGGGAGAGGGATGAAGGACACACACACACTCATAATAGTGGGGCTGAATTCCGAGCCCCTTGTTATCAGTGAGCTAGGGTCTAGGGACGTTCTTTCTGTCCTGGCAAGTCCCTCGCCTACCCTCCCCAGGTCTATGTTGGTGTCTCCATAGTAGCAGTAAGACACTTAACCTTGAAAATGGCGGAGGTGGAGGGGGGGAGGTAGAGGGGAAGGAGAGAAGACTGCAGCTGGTTAACAGGATGAAGAAAAGCCTCTTCCCTCATAGCTGTAGTTGGCAGAACTCCCTTCCACTACAGCTGAAAGAATGACCAGTCCTCCAAACATCAAGAAGAGTCAAGAAAAGGCAGGGTGAGCTCATGCAGCTGCCTGGCAAGAGCAAATGGGGAAGAAAAAGGGAGGCGTTTGAACCCACACTGAGAAGTCGGTTAGATGTCACTCCGCCCAGAGGCCCAGCTCACCTAGGCCCTGGGGCAGCCGGTGGGCACACCCCACCAGACAGCTGTTTAGGGGAGAGCTGCTCAAACGGCCCTGGCAGGTAAGCAAACATTTAGGGGGTTAATAGGTAACTACAAGGTAGAAAGAGGAACTGAACCTGGCATCCCTCTCTCTCTGGCCTTGCTGGAATTTATGAGTGCAACCTTCAAACTGCCAACTTGTCACCCTACTGCTTTCTCCAGCCACACTGCCTCCCCAATACCTGGAGAAGAAGGACCCACCTTCTCATGCTAGGCCAGCTGTAAAGATCCTTAAAAGTCCCAAGTCCCTTGAAGGATAATGGGAAAGCCAACTCAGCAGTCACCAAGTAAGAAGACGACTCTCATTCCTACCCCTGCCCATCTCCCCATCCCTTCCATACCCTCTCTTTGCCCTGACTCACCTTGGTCACAGAACAGGCCTCCCCAGCCCTCATCACAGTTACATTCCCAGGGGATGCTGCAGGTGCCATGGCGACAGCCATTGTGGGGGATACATTCATTGCACAGGCGACCCTGCCAGCCTGGGCGGCAGCTGTGGAACAAAAGGAAGGCTGAGTGTAAGGTGAGGGCCCAGTCTGGGGACAGCTCCCTGTTGCCACCCCCTGTCCCCTACTCACATGCACTCTGCTGGCTTGCTGCAGTAGCCATTCTGCTCGTGACAGCCAGAAAGACAGACAGCTGTGGAAAGAAAACAGGGCTGGGTAAGGTTGGGATAAGATGGACCCCAAAGACCCACTCATCCTTCTCTTAGTCCTGGGGGTGCCTCCAGCTCTCCTGGGCTCATGTCCCACTCCTGGCCTCCCAGAGGAGCCATGGATATCTTAAATGGTAGCACAGACAAGGAGAATCCAGACTGAATGGAACACAAAAATGGGGCCCTTCAGGGCTTTGGCATGATGGGGAGGAGCTCTAAGGAGAGAGCCGGCCAAGCCAAAGCCCATTCTAAGTGTCCCCAGGTGTCACTGAGACCCAGCTAGTGGGCAGCCTCTGTGAGGGAGGCAGGGCAAGAGGACATCACTGGGATTGCTCAGGGAACCCTGGGAAGGCAGAAGCTGGGCTGCTTACGATGTTGGCAGTACTCCCCCGTCCAGCCAGGCAGGCAGGACAGGTTGCCATCTGGCTGGCACTTGTAGTGGCCGAAGTGGTCATCTCGATCCTTGCATAGACGTGAGCAGCTGTCCCCATAGTAGTTGTCACTGCAGATGACCCGGTAAGAGTAGCGCAGCCTTGTGAGAGGGCTGGTCTGCTCCTCCCGTAACCAGTTCTGGCCCACAGCTAAGGAGCCCTGGATGGTGATCTTGCTGATGAGCGCGTCTGGTGGCAAGGCCTCTGAAGGGGCAGAGGGCCTGGTCAAGGAAGGGCAGCCAGGCCCAAGGGCGCCAGCAACTGCTGGATCAAACCAGCAGTTTCCAGATGACCCCACCTGCCAGCAAGCACAGGCTAGAGGAACCCAAGGGTCTCACCACTGAGCTGCCCTGTGTGTGTGCATATGGAGGGGGCCTGATACCATTCAAAAAGGGGACAATAGAAGGATGTTAAGATATCCCAGTGTTCTGGAGGGCAGATAGGGAGGGGAAAGAGGAAAAGAGGTCAAAATGGGAAAAGAGAAAAGAAAAAGCAAGAATCTTCAGGCCAGGGAGGACCCTGGAAGCAAGGGTCCTCGCTCAGGGGTTCTGCCCTCAGAGATAGGTAATGCTTTTCTTTTTCCTTTTCAAAGTGAGAATTGTTGTGCTGCTGAAATATCCTTTTCCTCTGTGTCAGAACAACATCCCAAAGCCATTATTCCCTTTGCAAAGGAGCGGAATTCGCGAAAGGTGTAAAATACAGGAAGGGGCCCGTCAGCGGCGCTGGCAGCATCGGCCTTTCTCACCGCCGTGCTCCCCGCGTTCCCACGCCAAAAATAACCCGCAGGAAACGCAATTGTACTCAGAATCCAAGCAGCAGGCGGAATCCGAGCGTCCAGCGCGGGGTGCAGCTCCCGGCCGGGCTAAACGTCCTGCCTCCCACCCCCACCCCCCACCCCGCACTTCCCCCGCCCCTTAAGGATTAACCCTTTGGGCGCTGCGCCGTGTCGCCCCCCTGTGGCGGAGGAGCGAGCTACTCACCTGGCCGCAGGTCGTCTCCCGGAGCGTGCCAAGCTTCGATGATGAGTGAGAAGGTACCCTGCGAGGCGAAAGGAGGGGGTGGGGTGGGGTGGGGAAGACAGAGATAGCGCGATGAGCAGGGGAGGGGGGAGAGGGCGCCTTGCGCCAGCCGGTTTAATTAATCTAATTGCAGGATACAGTTACTGCGCCCGGGTCAACATAACGGGTCTGCGCGCAGCTTAGCGCTCGGACTGAGAAGGCCAGGGAAGAACCCCAGATAGGAGGGGTGTTGAAGGATGAGGGAAAGTACGCAAGATCCTTTCAGAGGTGGGAGGCAGCCTGGGGTGGTAGGTTATGAAAATCATATCCCAAGAGCTGGGGATGAGGGAGACTGGTGCGAGCCTTCCTGAGGATGAAGTCCCGGGAGAGTTAGAAAGAAGGAAACAGAGAGAGCGCTCTACGTTGTTTTCGTTTGACTGAGGGGAGCTAGGAAATTTGGGGAGCGGGCTTTGGTCCCAGGAAGCCCACTTTTCTTAGCTTTCGTGACCTCCCAGGGCTCCCAGGCTGTGCTCACCGGCCAGGTGAAATTGAAGGGCAACTGGAGAGGGTTGTGTCCTCCGCCGCTACTGTCGTCCCCGACGGCAAAGGAGTTGGTGCCCAACACAGGCGTTGAGACGCTGCCGAAAGTGCAGGGCCCGGGCGAGACGATGGCTTGGAAGTGCTTAAGGCAGACGCGGAAGAAGGTTCGGCAGTTGGGCTCGCAGGGCCGCCCGCTGGCCAGGACGCCTCTCTCGTTGGCAAACTCCTGCAGCTGCAACTGGAAGACTCCGGAGCCAGCAGCACGCTATTGCGCGGGGACCGAGGGAAGGAGTGAGGGGAGCGGTCAGCTCGGCGAGCGGTCAGCTCGGTGAACAGCAGGGCTCGAGCGTAGGGCGCGGTGGGAAGGGGCAGAGGGGACGCGGGACATTACCTGCTGCCAAAGTGCCACCAGCAGCAATAGCACCCAGCCCGAGGCGCTCGGGGATGCGGCTGCCATCCCCTGGGGCGTCGCTCTTTCCACCCGCCGGCCCCGACGCTGGCTCGGTTCTTTGGGACGCCGCTTTCCCGCGCGTCCGCCCGCCGGAGGGGGTCGCTGAAAATTTAGACAGGCTCTGCTCGGGTCTCTCCTCCCGCTTCACCTTCTCTCTAGCTACGGTGCAAATGCCGCGGTAGGTAATCCAGGTGAGGGCGGCTGGGCGGCGGCCGCGCTGAGGACTCGTCCTCCGGCTAATCCTGGGGCTGCAAGCAGGCTAGTGCCCGGGTACACTGCACTGGGACGGCTTGAGCTGCGACTCTTGCCCTCGTGTTCCTAGCTTGCGCTCGGCGCCGCTACTGAAACCTGCGTGCTCGGAAGCCTTCCTTATATATATTGGCTCCTCTCCTCGCCGCCTGTCACTCAGACTCATGGTCACTCTCTCCTCCCCTTGGGTCTCTAGCAGCTACAGTCCCAGCGCCGCCCGGAGGGGGCCTCCGCCCCCATCATCTCCCCTCCCCGCCAGCCAGTCAGGCACAGGTCCCCGCCCCTCGAGCCTTTTCCCAATCCCTGGGTCCCCCAGCTCAGCGCGCGCGGAGGTGACCAGTTCTCCGCAATCGCTGGTTACTGGCGGAGGCCCTGCCCGCGGGAGCATAAAGGGAGGGCCGGGGGATAGGGAGCGGGAGGTGAGCGAGTAGTTCCCGGATGGTCATGGGGGCGGAGACACTGGGGAGTCCCCGCAGGCTGTGCGTCGGCAGGCTACGCGAGTTACCTGTAGCCCGAGAGAACAGGTAAAAAGAACTTAAGCTCGGAAAACGAAACCAGCGCCAAAGGACTCCGATCTCCTACTCCTGCCTGGAGCTTCCCGAGCTCTCGCTGCTTCGGCCCCCACCCTGGAAGCGCCCACCCACCACGCGATGCCCAGCGCGACAGGGAAGGCGCTGTGGCTTTAACCTCTCAGTCGCCATCGGAGCGAGGATGTGGGACTGGCGTCTAAGACTGGGGGCTCCCTCCCCCCACCTGGTGGGCGTCTCCCTCCTTAGTTGCGGGAGCGTGTACTGCACGTGCCGCCTCTTCTTCCCCAGCCTGGGTGCGGCGCGTGCCAGCCCCGAGACGCGAGGTGGGGGGCGGGAGGGGGAGGGGGCGTGGTCCCTGAGGTGGAGCTGGAAGCGCGCGTCCTCAGCTGTATGATAATAAGGGTCTGACCCCGCCTCCAGCGCCTTCTCTCACCTGGTTCAGCCTCGGCTCCAGCCCTCGCTGTCTCCCCACCCCCTACAACCCCATCCCTCGTCCAGTCGCTCAGCTAAGGCAGGAAGGAACTCTCCAGGATCCAGAGTTGGCTCCCACCACTGGAGAGTCAAGGTGAAGGGCTGAGACCCGGCCGACGCGGGTCCTTCCCTCATAGGGCGATGTGTGGGGTGAAACTGTAAGACTGTGGATTTATTTCAGGCGGCTTCACCCAGTCTCGCCTTCGTGGCTCCTCAAGCTGGCCCCACTTCTCCGAGCGGCGGCACTGCAGCTGCTTTCCCGGAACCCGGAGTGATCCCCAGAGGACCTAGACTGGGGAGGGCCGGCTTCTTGGTCTCCGGGGTGCCTCAGCTCTCTGCGACGCTGAGGGCTGCAGGGGCCCTGTGGCTTCAGCTGTCAGCCAACCCGTATTGCGATGGCTGTCGTCGGGCGATAAGATCGGCGCGGGGGATTTGGGGGGGACAGGGACGCGGTGAGGGCCCCTGGGAGGCTCGGGAGGGGTAGGGGCGCGGCGCGGAGCCCAACAGCTGCCTATGCTGAGCTAGTCGGGTTTTTTTGACTGGGGGGTCGTGGTGGAGGATGGGGGAGTAAGATGAGAAACAAGAGGTTGGGAGCGTGGGTTGGGGGAGGGTCGAGGTGAGGAGACAGGCTCCGGGGTCCCCCACGCACGGCCACCCCTCCCACCCACCATCTGGCGTGAGCGGGTTGGCGTGGGGAACCGAGGTGGGGTGGGGGGCGGCAGATGGGCACAGGCTGGGCTCCAGAGTTAATGTAGGTTATGGACGGGCAGGAGGGAGGGGGAGCCCAGAGCTTGCCTTTAGCGCTCCTGACAAGTATATTCCCATCTTCTCTGCCCATACTTTACAACCCCTCTGACTTGTCCCATGGTGCCTGGAGTGCCCCCTCACTCTCCTATCAAGATCTGCTCATGTCCACATCTTGGGTGGGAGTTCACAAAAACTTGCTCCTTTTATGGTGCTGGCCCTTGACTGACCCTTAAGGCAGATAACCAGTCCCAGATGACTGATGTCACTCAATGCTGATAGATCTGGAACAATCTCTACCCCTTATACACATCCACACTGATGTGTCCAAAAGCACTTTGCAAAAAGTCAAGGACCAAACAAAGGTATCATTAGTATTCTCAGAGACACAAAATGTAAGGGTTCCCAGAAACCTCTGACCTGAGGAGAAGAGGGTTAAATTCGCCCTCCTTCCAAAAGGCATATAAGATGTTTCTATTTGTACATGGAGCCTTGTTCCAAGAGTTGGTCACCAGGTTAGGACACCACCATCCTGGGCCCCCATCCTGGCTCCAATCTGCTAGGTCCAGTGTTACCCACATTCTCGTTCATCAGGAGAGCGGTATAGCGCTGGGAAATGGAACCAGGTATGAGTGACTCCATGGTTGGGCTCCTCTCTTCCTTTTTCTCCATGGAGGCACTTGCAGACAGAAGAGTCCAACAAACCTCCTCAATGTTTATAGGAGCAGAAGGCTGTTGAGGCTCTCTGAGGCACAAACGACAGTAGAATGGACCGGTGTGGAAGTCTGCAGACCGTGCTCCTAGGCTGATGCTCTGAGATGCCCTGGATCCTGGGTATGGACTGTACTGACCCTCTCCCAAGGATGGACTGTGGGCACACAGTTCAGGTTACTCACCCCACAGGCACCTTCAACACTACCCAGTCGGGGCAGGGTCTAAACCTGACTTCACATAAAGCCTCTGCCCCAGGGGCCCCTTTTTGCTTCAGGGGTGGATTCTGCTGGGCCGCTGCCTACAGCCCCCAGCCTGCAGATCCCATACTGGGCCAGGAAACGCCAAGGTTGTCTGCCAATCTTGCTCCCAAGCTGACCCCAAGTTAATAGGGTGCGATGGGTCCGCATAGACTCTCTGGACTCCTCCCGGCCGGCCGGGTGTCCTCTCCAGGGCGGCAGCGAAGCTCCGAGGCCTCCCGCGTTGTTTTGCCCATCCTCCACCTCACCCCTGGGACTGCCTTCTAAGCCCGGCAAATTGCACCCAAGTAAGGCACACGGTGGGGGCCGCGTGGCCGCGCCCGCCAGGCAAACCAGGGGTGGGGCACTTAAGCCTTGTGGGGCGCGGCTGCGGTTGCTGCGGAGAAGGGGCCACGTGCAGGGAACGGCGGCTCCGGGAGCTGCACAGAAGGCGGGGAGATTTGCAAACTGTTGCTGCCACATGGCTGCTCCATTCGATCCATTCACATTGAAATGAGGCCGGCGCGTGCCTCATCTGCCGCAGGGCGCTGCCACGCGTCAGCCCGGTCTGCCGCGTGCCAACTGGGGCAGTGGGGCTGGCAGGGTCTGCCAGCCGTGGGGGCGCAGCCCCGTCCCTGGGGCCAGATAGGGGGGTGGGGGGAGGGAGTCGAGCTACCCTATCCACTGAGGCGCTGCGGACCTTGGCCCTGCAGTTGGAAGCTTACAGGCGAGAAAGGACCAGAACCAACGGGCTTCGAAGGGGGGCCAGGATCGATGCCGCCGCTCCCCGCAGATGCGCCCCGGCAGCGCTACTCTCCATCTGCCACTGCTCGCACCTGCCGGTCAATAAATCGATTTTACAATTTAATGCAGCAGCTTCCCGCCCGCCTGGGACAGATGCCGCCGCAGAACTACCTCCGCCCTCTTCCCTCCCCTCAAGGGGCGCCAGCGGTTAGAGCAGGGATTCCCGCTCCACAGGCGGCACCCCCCGCGGGGCCTCATTCACCTCTATCAGGAGTCCCTACAAGGAACTGCCTGCTTTGGGTCTTTTCCACTGAGCAGAGTGGGTTTCCCACAGAACAGGCCTGAAACTAGTGGAGGAGAATGGATGATGAGGACTTCATGGTGACCCTGAGTATTCATTTGGGAGCTTCAAGAGAAGAACAGGATGCAATGGGCTGGTGGATGATAAGCTGTGGGAGACCCTGTGAAAAGGAGGGAGGGGTAGGACCTAGGGCATGGGGGTGAAGACACCCTGAGTCCTGAAGAATCTCCAGAAATGGCTGGAAAGAGTTGGGGTAGACCGGGGCCTCATACCACTGTGGTGGAGTTGGCTTCACCAGACAAGACATGGATGTGGTTCCTGGCACTTCCCAGCCCTGTTTCTTGACTTGTAATTTAACCCAAACTCTATGCCTCAGTTTTCTCCTTCTGTGCAATGGGGATGATAGTGAACAGGAGGGTACCTGAAAGTCTATTTCAGATTACAACATTTGCAGGGTCCAATAAACATTGATTTCCTTTTCCCCAGACAACATCCTGATAACCAGGGACAGGCTGGAGTAGAGGCCCAGGGACAGACTTGGTATAGAGGTGGATTCCTGATGGCAAAAGTGTTCCAGGAAGAAAGGAAGGGAATAGGAGAGTCAAAGGCAACAGTCCTAAGGGATGAGGCAAGAGGACCAGGAGGTGTGGGGGGAGGTGTGGGAAGGGGAAAGTGAGGAGAGCCCTAGTAGAGATTGGATGGGAGATGGATCTTGTGGAAAACCTTAGCTGGGAGGAGCTCTGTGGGGAGAGGACATGGCAAAGGTCTTCACTGGAAAAAGACAGGAGTTTTGAGAATGGGTTTGGAGAAGTGAAGGTTTGGAGGATCCCATTGTCCAAGGTCTTGGCCTTCCAGGCCCAAGTATGGGGGTCAAATGGGAATCCTACTTCATGGCAGCATTCTGGAGCAGAGGCACTCAAGAGGAAGGAAAAGTCAACTCTGGGACTCAGCCCTCCCCACATTACTGAGGGAGTAAACAGATTGTACTGGATGGCCCATTGGCTGATGGCTTATGAGTGATAATGCAAATGTCCCAAGGAAATGATGCTCTGAGTGGATGAGCCTGTGGATTGTGAGTCCAAGTGCCTGCGTGACCCCTTGTGAGACTAGGAAGTCCTCCTTCCTCCTGTCTCCCAGACTCCCAGGAGCTGGCGGGCCCAGGCTACCTATTATTGTGTGTCCTGTACTTTTTTTTTTTCAAGATTTATTTATTCATACAGAACTGGGGTACAGGCCAGAGGCACAGAGGTGATGAGGATTCACCAGAGACAGAGTGGGGAGCAGAACAGCCAGATCAATGAAGTAGACTGCTGAGAGTGTTCCAGGGCAGGAAGAAGGGGGTACCCTTGAGCCCCCAAACC